CGACGACGAGCCTGCGGAAGCTGTGTCCTCCACAGGTATCTTGACGAGAACGAAGTGCGGTTGCCAGAAGAACTTTGCGCGACTAGGCAAAAAGTTATGTGCGGATTGCCTAGCTGCCAAACATATGGTCGGATGGAGAGGATGGACTGCGTGGAGGAAGACACATTGGCCAAGACCCGGTCGCACGAACAAGAAGCATTAAGCCTGGTGTGTGCAAGCCTCAAGTGAGGGGTGGGTATTCAGGGTTGGTGGCCCTTACTACTGAATCTGGTTCAGTTGAGTTGAAGAAGGAAGCAATGCTTCGTTTTTTTAGTCGAATTGCTGCTGAGTGAGAGGTGGGTGGGTTTAAGAGGATAGGCCAGCTCAAGGCAAGGTGGAGATGACTGAAGATGAAGCTTTCCGCAGGCTAGAACTGTCGATAGGCGACCTAATAGATGGAGTCAACTTTGCGAGAAGTCGTCGTGAACTTGACCAAGCACTTGATTGTTTGTTTGCATGCTGGAACACAGAGCTTTTGATTACATATGCCGTCATCCCCAAACTAAGAACCCAGGTTTCAAACAGAGAGACTCTGCAACAGCCTCGCCTAGTCTATGTACCGTTGGCACGTCTTCCGCCACGTTTACTCCTCTCAATGTGGCCCTGCAGCACCTTCTTCGTCTGTACCAAACTCCTCTTGTTCTTGTACTTGGCCTTGTTCAGCGTCATCATAAAGTTCTTCTGGCGCGCCTTCTCCTTGTTCGTCGAACTCTTGCCCTCGGCTTCCTTCTTGGACCGGCGGATGGCCTGCGTCGACTTGTGCTCCTCGCGACCCGGCTTGCCCTCCTGAGCCAACGCGACTCTCTCCTCCTTGGTCGTCTTGCGCAGCCTGGCGGGAGCCTCAATCTGCTCAGCCGTAAGGCCGTCGTCTGCGTGACGGGCCAGAGCCTTCTCAGCCTCCTTTGAACGTTTCGAGGTCTTGCCCAGTGTTTTGTTGAGACTGGCCTCCATGCGCAGCTCTTGGAGTTTCGCGAGATCGGCAGGTGTGAGAATGGTGGTCGTGGCGAGTTTTTGTATCCGCTCAAGTTCATCGGCGTCCTCCTCCTCGTCCTCCTCCTCATCATCCGAACCGTCATCTGCTGTCCTGCGCTTCTTCGGCGCAGGCTCGTCTTCATCATCCGAGTGATCAACGTTGATCCAACCGCCGGAGTCGTCGCTGTCATCCGAGTCCACTTCCCAGTCCTCTGACTTGTAGCCCTCCTCATCCTCGTCTTCGTCCTTGTCGGCGCCGTCTTCTGGCAAGCCCTTGGCGGCACGCTTGAGCTTGCGCTGCTCCTCCTTGTATCTTGCCAATAGTTCGATACCCTCAATGCCTCCAACTTCCTCCTCGCCGAATCTCTTCGTCTTGATTTCTCCGCTTCTAAGACCCATAGACGCATCCTTGCCTCGGTCCTTCTTCTGCAGCAGATCAGCGCCAACCTCTCTGTACAGAGACAGAAGACCCTTGGCCGCCATCATTGTTCCCTTATCTTTGCTCTTTCTGTACTGAACAAGATCTTGCAACAGTGTATCGGACATAGCCAGGGGCTGTCTGACGCAAATTTCACGGATAGCATTCAGACCAGCTGCAGCGACTTCGGCGGCGGCGGCTTCTGAGACGAACTCGTTGGCAATCTTCTGGATGAGGGGCTCAACCGCATCAGGGGGAACCAAGCTATGCGTTCCCTGGGCCAGAGAAGCCAAATAAGAAGTGACCGACTCTTGGCGGGGCGTGAGGAATTTGATAAACCAGGAGTACAGGCTGATGATGGTCAACTTGTGAAGACCAACCAGTCTCGTGACCAGCTGCAGGACGAGGAGCTTGTTCTCGTGCGAGAACTTTGTCTTGGTGCTTTGCAGGTGCTTCTGGAACACGGTCTCGGCGAAGCCTTGAGGGTCGTGCAGGAGGTGGAAGGCGGAGAAGTTGAGCGGGTGAGGCTTGCCCTTGCCGCGCTCCTGCTTGTGAATCTTAGCAACGGCCTTCTTGTATGCATTCGCCTGTTTCTTTGACTTCTTGTTGATGCCGATCTGATGCTTCATCTTTTGCAAATCAATCTGCTCCTCGTCACTGCTGTCGTCCTCCAGCTCCTCACGCTCCTTGTCGCCACCGAGGAAGAAGCGCACGGAACCAACGACAACCTTTTCGTTGTCGGAGAGAGCCGCTTCCTTCATAACGTCGACCGTCTTGGCATCGGTCCAAATTTGTCGCTTCCACAACTCGCGGGTCAGCTTGACAGCCCAAACAGCTTTCGGTGATGTGCGGTCGGCCGTGATGAGGTTGTAAAGGACGGTCTGGATCGTGCGGTTGAGGGGGTGGTTCGTCGCCTTGGAGTTCGCATTGCGCATCTCGGTAAGGATCTTGCCGAACAGGAGCGTTCGCAGCGACTTGCTGGGTGATGACACAAGAATGGGGAACAGCGTCGTGAGATAGTACGTCGAGTCAATGACGTCCTTCTTTCGGAGGAGCGCCAAAGCTCCGACAATCTTCTCGCGCAATTCGGGGTGCAGAACCTCGTGGTGCTGCAACAGGATCGCCTTCAGGTCGTCGGGGAACGCGACAGCATGCTTCGGGTACAGGTCGACGGTGTGAGCGAGGAGATCGACGAGGTTATGGAAAGACTCTGTGTACTCTCTCGTCGCTGTCGTCGGCGAAACGAGGAAGACCTCGCGCTGGCTCTCGTACTGGCCCCATTGCTGGAGGAAGTTCTCTTCGTACGACTTGGGATCGCGGCGGATCTTGTACTGCAGGCCGGCGCTGTGCTTGTTAGTGATTGACGTGTCGGCTGGATCGCGAGTGACTTACAAGTCGACGTCGACCTTCTCGAGGGCGGTCACCTTGCGCTTTCCCATGGTTGCTATTTTCGCGATTGGAGTCGACGAATTGATCGGTGTCTGAGCGACGGCGGGGGACCTGACCATCAAAAATCTCGACGGTCGGCAACTTTTTTTGCTTATCGTTTATCTTATCACAGATAATCAGCTTATCGGTGTCAGGAAGCAATTTTGGTGGGTCCGTTGGCTGCACTTCACCAATCGGAGGCAGTCAAACACGGACCTTTGTCCCTTCCTCTTGAGGCATCGCAAGAGAGAAGTACTTAAGGTAGTCGAGAGTACTCATTCCCACGATCAAAGACTAAGGTATTGAGAAAATCGACATTTGTTTAAAATGAATATGAGGATTATTAGAAACTCGGCTGAGTCTGGTTGAAAAGTGAGACTGCTGATGGTGGGGATACTAGAGACAGCGGGGAGGTCCTCCAACATCAACATCTTTCACCACAAGATGCTCACCCTGGTGTTTTGCCCGTGCTGCACCCCGGTCACTGCCAGGCTATCTTGAACTGAGGACTTCAAGTCAAGTGGCAAGTGTCTGAAGCGTACTTGGCCTGTAAGAAGATGCTTGGTCGAGCAAAGTAGAGCATGGCTCTTCATCGCTTTCGCGAAGCGCCATGTGAACAAGGATAAGTACATCCAGTGCGGGCTAATTCATGTCCATGTCATACGCACTACAAAAACTAGCTATCATTTTGTAAAAGAAATTGGCGGAAGTGTCTGAAACAAGAGGCCGCGGAGGCGTGGCATCATGGTGTGTTCCAGGAATGCTTTCTAAAACAGTGAAAAGCCCTCGTAACTCCATAAACTTCCTAAAGTCGCCGGTCCGGCGGCTTCATTACGGGAAGTTGTCGTAAGCATCCGCTTTTTGAAAGGGCAGGAGAGGCATTCGCCGCCCTTCCCATACAGGATTATATAAATGCCAAATCAATTCCCATCAACTCACAGCTTGAATTAATACCATCAGTTCATCGGATCTTCAACTAGCTTACAGAAAAGAAAGGGGCATTTACGTTTCTATATATGATCGCCGTCTAGTCAACAATGAAGCTCTCAATCATTGCCCTTGCCTTTTCCATCTTTGTAGGAAACGCGTACGCGCTGCATGTAAGTTCTTGACAACATATGGCCTTGCCACCTTCCAACCCCGAAGCTGGAGGACCCTAAGCGCTACAATTCATTCAACCCAAGCGTTCTAACAGTATTTTGTCACAGAGATGCTCTTGTCAGCTTGGATCATCGTGCCAAAGCTTCTCTCAGGTGGAGGATAATCAGAGCTGTGGCGACTTCTGCAAATCAAGCTTCAGTAATGCCAAGACGTGTTGATTGCAAATCAGTGTTGTGAATTTTGTAGTCAATTTGCATATATGGTTTTTAAGACTTTCTAGCCTGGGAATGTGATAAGAACTCAGGATACGGGCAGTAAACGCAATTCTCTGTTGAAGTCGCATCAACAGAGTCCCAGCAGAGCTGAGCGGTACAACTTTGGGAGCAGGATGTAGGTACCCCAGTAATCTTTCCCCAGGCAATTGGTCCGTAGCCTCTTTGTGAAGTGTCGCAATTGGATGGATGGGGACGTATCAGAGGGTTCAAAAAGTCGCAGACCGCCTGATCTGATAAAGTAGTTCGCCTCAACACTTCTTTAGGCAACCGGAACTTTTGCTGCCTGGCGCTTCTCTTGGGCAGATAGGTGATCAAAAGGCCCCTGCAGGCTGGTGAGGCAAAACACAGAGACCCCCGTCAGCCTATCGACTCTTGATGTAACACAGCTCTGTCACAACTCGCTCTAGCACTGGTCGTCTGCATGGTTCCCATAGCTCTAGCACCTCTTAACAAGCCTTGGCAAACACCAGGCGACCAATGCTCTGCGACTGGTCTTTTGCCATGTAGCAGAAGTCCCCGTCAGCTCACCAGGTTGTACTTTGCTTGGTGCTGTGCTCACAAAAGGTCCGTTTATCTGAATCATTCATTCATTATAAGTTGAGAAGTGAACTGCACGACCATCTAATGACATTTAGCACTCTCATTTGGATCTGGCGCAATACTTTCAAGCTGACACTGGGCACATCACTTTCGCTAAGTCGAGGAAACTACCGACATCTCTTTTGCATAGTCGTAGATATCGCGGCATTGTTCAATTGACCGCCGCCATGTCTGCTATTAAGTGGGATACTTGGAACGATGAGATCACTCAACTCTACGTCACTGAAGACAGATCTGCGGAGGAAACAATCAAGACTCTGAATCAGAGACACAAACTAAGGATCACGTACGTTTAAACCTTTGTCCACCTCTCGGAATATTCTCATCATGCCTCTAACATTGGAGAAGTATAAAACAGTTCAAGAAGCGCTATTCAGGCCTCAAGAAGGTGCGCGCCAACGAATGGAGAGCCATTAAACGAGAGATGCAAAAGCAAAAGGCCGCAGGCAAAGAATGTCTGATCTTCCTCAACGGGCGCCAGCTTGACCCTGAGCGGGTTGCTAGAGAACTGCGTCGATATAGCGGCATTCGCGGTCGAGATGTGGAGGATGGTGGTGTCCCAATTGGTGAGTAGTCTAGAACCCTTAACTGAAGTAGTCGTCGAGCACCAGATCTCTGAAACAGATTAGACATTGGCATCGATACATCAGGCCTGCACCGGCTAGAATTGCGCACAAAGATCCTCCCCAGGAGCGATACTCTGTCAGATACCCGGTCGAGCATTGTACGGCTTCCCTCCAGAGCGGATGTCACTCATGTCGCAGACCCTTGTGGCCCAAATTTAATGAACTTCAACCCTTCCTCTGCAGATGTGTACTCCTTTGATTTCGATTGCAGTAACATCAGCATGAACACTCCTTGCTTCACTGAGCTTCTGGTCCAGAAAGGTCCCCAGGACATGCTACACGTGCAAAGCATCCCTCGTCCACGAAGTGGTCGAGAAAGTCCTGACGGGACTAGCGAGGGTACGACATCAGCGATCTCCCAGCGATGGTGTCCAACACCAGATTATGTTATTCCTGACTTCTGCCTTTCTGAATCAAGCATGGTATTGAAAACTCGTCCCAAAATACCAGCTCGCTTCTTGGGGATGCTAAATGGAATTGCATTAAATATCTCTCGTACGTAATAGCCAAAATGTCCCCAAAAAATGCTTGTAGAGACATCGCTAATAACAGCCGTAGAAGTCAATCACTTCATGAAAGCCCTTGAAAGGGATATCAGTACTTTTGCCTCCAAGGTGGACCAAGTCCGGTGGCCATCTTGGTGGCAGGAACCATGTTCGGGTTCGGGTTCCGGCTGGATAACCCTAGCAAGCGGCGATCCTTCTCTACTTTTATTGAAGCCGATCTACTTCATTGCCGAGAATGTTCTTCGGCGAGACGACGATAGCTTGGAAGATGACGATAACGTGGATGCAAAGGATTGCCAAATTGCTCTGTGCCAGAATGAGCGATTGCTGAACCTATTTTTCTCCATTGTTCTGCATCTCATCTGCAACAACATCACAGGAATCCATGCAATTCCCTCATTCCTCCAATGGGTGAATGAAATGGATGTACTGGGTCAACTTGCGGTGTATTTGAAGATGAATCCCAGAGATGCTGGAGCCCTTTTGGAAGCAGCTGTACGTCGGCTCAGACTAGGTCTATCTGAAGACAGTCGCCTTCTGGCTTATCGTTCCAACAAACACTCGTGGGGGGAGCAGCTAGTCGACTTCTTCGACAAACAAGGGCTGGGAGTTTCCCCCGAACTGTCTTCACTTCTTCTTCACGCCATGGCAAGAAATTCGACCGTATCAACTGCAAGGGCATTACTTTCTCATGGAGCCGATATCAACTTTACCGCACCCATCGGATTTGAACGTGGCACTAGACCTTTTCGACGCCCCGTTCCCCCAATCGGGCCCCCGCTATTTCAAGCCATATGTTTCGAGAACCCTGACATGGCGGAGTTTCTCATCGAGGAAGGAGCTGAAATCAATGACTGTTACCAGGCGGGTTCTCCCAAGTTGTCCTGCAACGCTCTTAGTATCTGCATCTCCGAACTTGAACCATACGTTGCAGATCTTCTCGTTAGGAAGGGAGCTCAGATACCTCCGTCGATCAAAGTCGATTTGGGGCCCCTCCAAGTCAAGTTGAGGAGTGTATTCAATGATGGAAAGTATCCGCTTCTTCGGCAATGGATCCGTCATCACCTGCCACTCATTGATCTGATCGTTCAAGCTGCGAGCATCGGTAACAGCGAGCTATCCAAAGTCCTTCTACAAAACAACATACTTCAGGAGATGGCTTTGGAATGCGCCTTGCGTCGAGCCATCAAAGTGCGAGACACTCTCGCTGTGCAAACGCTACTTCAACGTGGCGTGAATCCAAATCCGCCGCCATGTCAGATTGAATGCTCAAAGTTTCTAGGTATTGACGAGGAATTAGCGGAAGAGGCACCAATTCTTTTGGCCGACAATGCTAATATCGAAGGGAGAGGAATCACGTATTTACTATTGCTTGCTGGTTCCCATGTGCCCGATCACGTTCTTGTCGACATTTTCCGACGGAGCATGGATGATCAAGGCATGGTACTGCGTCACAGTGATATGCTGCCATTATACTCCCTTTTGGTATCGAGAGTATCAGCGATGCCAGTCATTGGAGCTTCCGCCTTGGCAAGCGCAGTCAAAACAAGAAGCTTGATCTTATGCAGCTGTCTCCTTGATCTCAAGGCTCCCCTTAACTATTATGGAATCCAAAGAATGAGCTGCTTACAACAAGCGGCACGTCAAGGAGACTTGCTCCTGACGCGTTTTCTCCTTGAACGTGGCGCGGATGTTAACTTTGCTGCTCATGAGGATGGAGGACGTACGGCACTGCAGAGTGCTGTCGAATGTGGTGCAACTTCAGTTGCAGGTTGTCTGCTCAGTGTCGGAGCAGACCTAAAGGCCGCTCCGGCGAAGAGGAACGGAGTCACCGTGCTAGAAGCTTTCGCAAAGTCTAACAAGGATGCCTACTACCCGAGATTAGCAGCCAGAGCTTCGTCCATCGACCCGGAGTACCAAAGAGATCAAGTTTCAAAATTAGGAGATTTTCGAAATTGGGTGGCCATGGGCGCGCCCATCAATCGCCTGAAGGGCGATGACAGTAGCTTACTGCACCACTTGGTATATAATTTCCATTACGAATGCCTGCAGTCAGCATTGGAACTAGGCGCACGAACAGAAGCCAGGTGGCACGTGGATAAGAACATTAGTGTGTTTCAGCATGAGCTTGAGCATGAAACTTCAAAGGGCATGAAGACTCCGCTTCAACTTGCTGCATACTTGGACGAAGTTGAAGCTGCTCGCTTGCTACTCGAGTATGGAGCCGATATCAATGCCCACCCGAGCGACGAGTACGGCAGAACTGCGTTACAGGCAGCGACGTGTAACTTCAGAGAACAGTGTGGACATGAAATGCTGCAACTTCTGCTTTCCTTCAACCAGGACATCAACGCACCACCAGCATATCAAGGAGGCCTCACAGCCCTACAGGGTGCAGCAATAAGCGGCGATTTAGTTGTTGCCAGGATGCTGCTCGAGCGAGGTGCAGATATCAACGCTTCTGCCGCAGCGGAGGACGGGAGGACGGCGATCGATGGAGCTGCTGAACACGGCCGGTTGGAGATGGTGGAATTCTTGCTCGAGAATGACGCGAAAGGAGACCCAAAGACCGGGTTCTCCAGGGCCATTGAACTCGCGGAAGCGGAGGTTCATTTTGGAATTGCGAAAGTCCTACGAGAACACGTTGCCACGTTGGCGCTTCGAGATTTTGATCTGGTACGTGGAGTGAATAACGACCTCGTCGGACCTCTGCCGTCTCCGGGGTTCGTCTTCTCAGACGAGGCCATTGTGGATTTCAACTTTGAGATGCCGAGTTGAGTATCTTGTATCAACGGCTGAGTGACGTCATATGAAGACATAGGTTCTGCTGAGGATTGGAGTTTTGGCAGGAATACAGCATATTCTAGACAGTTCCAGCATAATTTGGACGGTGCTGCTGTTAGAAGGTACGATGGCTCGGCGGTATGACTCTGACCAAGAGCGAAAGTTCTGTAAGGAGCTTTTCGATCTCGAGATGAGAAGGATTTTTCTTCAAGTTTTAGTACTTTGTTGTTTCAATGGCCGGTAATACATATTCAAGAAAGTAACATTTCGTGTTAACATGGAATATGGAGTCAAGTTAGGACTATAATTACACGTGTGCGATCAGGCATGAGGCTAACATAAACCAAACATTGATAAACTCCATCTCTCGTCACCAGCTCTCATAAAATCGCTCACCCTACGTCTCTATATACAATCTCCCCACTCCCAACTTCATCCAAACCCCACGTCTATACCACCCCACCCTTCTTCTGAAAAAGACTGTAAATGCAGATCGTCTGCTAAGAGACTGACTGGTTGGCTTGCTAGGCGATGTGAATAACCATTCAATGCATGTGCGTTACGTAAACAAGACGTGTGTGTGGGTGTGATAGCGTAACACTTTGCTTCGTTCTTTCTTCTCTCCTTCCTTCCTAACTTCGTTCATCTCACATCTTCCTCTTTGTCTCTTTATGCACATACCAACTCATTCATCTCTTTCACAGCTCATCCCGTTCATTCTCGTCCGTTTCCTCCAGCTGCTCAGTATCTTCATTCGCAACCTGTGCTTGCTCATCTGCGACCTCGTGCTCTGCGACGGGTAGAGCTGACTCAGTGGCAGGTGCCTCTTCCTCAGACTCAGCGTCTTCAGTGGACTCTTCGACGGGCGACACAGTCTCAAAAGCTGACGCCTCTTCAGTCTCGGAGGCGTCCTCAGAGACGAGAGTCTCAGATACGTCCTCCGCGGCACGGGTGTCCGCAACAGCTTCTTCACCAGAGCCTTCCTCAACTTCGACCACGGCATCAGCCTCAGCCTCGATCTCAGGAGCAAAGCTAGCCGTAGGCTGAACCCTGACAACCTCCGTCTCCGTAACAACAGCCTTGACCGTCTCCGTAATAGTCTCAATGATACGCACCAACTCTCTAGTAGTGATAGTCTCATGGACAGGAGTAGGCGAAGGAGCCCTCACTTCCTCAGAAGACGAAGAAGGAGAAGCAGTCACAGAAGTCTCCTGCTCCACAGCAGAAGTCTGCTCCGTAGCCAACGTTGACGTAGTCTCAACCTCTTCAACGCTCCCAATAGACTCAGAGACAAAAACCTCCACACTAGGCTCTGGTTCGGCGACTTCAACCTCAGGCGTAGGCTGAATAACAACCTCCGCCGAAGCCTCAGACGCCGTCACAGACTCCACAATAGCCTCAACACTCTCCATCACCGGCACCTGCCCCTGCGAAACAGGAACCTCAACCACGGGCGCAGCAGCATGATCGACAAACTGTCCATCCCAATCCTTCACCTCCCTCGGCGCAGGACGAATCGCCATGAACAGCACAAGCAAACTCATGACCACAATGGCAAGATTCTTCTTATCCTGCATAAACACCCGCGCAGCCTCGAGAAGCAACTCCGCGAGTCCCGCGTTCTGGAAGGCTTGTTGGCGCTGGTGGTGTTGGGCGTAGGATTCCTCCGGTGGGGGAGGGGACTGGTGGTGCTGATGTTGCTCGTGGTAGTGAGGTTGTTGGGGTTCCGGCTCAGGTTGCTGTTGTGGGGGAGGAGGAGAGCGAGCTGAGTAGGCGTCGTGATGTGACGACGCGGGTCTAGATTCGGGGGCTGGCTCGTGGTGTTCTGGTTCAGGAGCCGGAGGGTGTCCGTAGATCTCACGCATACGCGCCTCGTCGCGGAGACGGCGTTCCTCGCTTTGATCGTAGCGGGGCATCGGCTCCGGAGACGGGGGCCGAATATCCTCAGTCGCAGCAGGGGGAGGTGACGAGACCGGGATATGAGCCTCGCTCTCAATGTACTTCGGCTCCAAGAGATGAGTCTCCTCAATATGCGACGTCTCGTGTATCGGTTCCTCCATGGACGGCATATCGCGGTCAAAGTCCGACATGCCACGCTCCTCAGGCATATCCCTTCCCTCAGTCGACTCAAGGATCGTAGGATCATGCTTGACAAGCGACATCTGCTGCGACTGAGCCACAACAAGACGCTCCAGCTCATCCAGCACAGCCGACTCGACAATGGGCTCAATCTCAACATCGACGCGCTCCATCTCCTTCCAGCACGCAGCCCAAGCACCGGTCCTCATAAGGCCGTTGCTAGCGTACACCTTGATGCGGAAGATCTTGCCGGGGCCGAGGGACTCGTAGCGGATTTCGTGGCGACATGTCTGGCACCAGTGCGTCTTTGCGAGGGCGCTCTTGCGCCTCGACTCTTCGTCGTACTCCTCCTCGTCGCTGTCCATGTCCTCGCCGAGCGTCATCTCGTTGGACGGGCCAAGATAGTGCCCGCACTCGAGAACGCGGGCCCTTCGGCGTAGAGGAAGGTCGAGGGCTTCCAACAGCCGCTCCTCCAGTATCTCGTACTCGTCTTGCGGATGGGAGAGGAGGATGCCGCGCTCACAGACGGTATCAGCGACACGGTCATGGAGGTGGTGCCACGCCTCGCGGAGCGTCTTTGCCTCCGGGGACAGCGTCTCGGAAGACGTTTGCTCCAGGATCTCAGCCCATTGCCAGCGGAGCGGCAGGAGGGTGACGTGAAGAAGTACGAGCGGGGCGGGCTCTTTCTTAGGGTTGAAGCGGGTAGGTGTCTTGCGGCCCTTGGCAGAGTATTGGGCCGACACGTTGGGGCTGCCGAGGCGGGAGATGGTCGGCACCTGGGAGCGTTTGCTCGAGCGTGGTGAGTAGGAGCCGCCGGTGACGGAGGGCGCGGGGGATGAGTATTGCAAAGCCCGGACGTCGGAAGGGGAGCGGAAGGGCATCCTGGGCGCGCCGCGGATGGTTGGTACGAAGTCTTCCTTGTCGTAGTAGGACATCTCGGACACGGAGACGTCATCGGACATGTGGGAGAATCTCTTGGAGGAGCGGTTGCTCGTGTCCTTGTGGTGGTCAATGTTGCCATCAAAAGAGCCGAGTGAGCTGCGCGGACTGCGGTCGCTGAAGACGTCCGAGTCGCCGTGCTGGGAGGAGCTGTCGCCGCCGTCCTCGTGATGCGCGGGTCGATGACGGGCATCGCTCTCCCGACGGCTAGTTTGCGATTGTGTGTTGTAGGACTCGCGACGACTTGCCCGCGATTGCGTGTTATACGACTCACGGCGGCTAGCGCGCGAGTCGGTGTTGTAGGATTCGCGCCGAGTGCTCACGTCGTAGTGTAGCTCTGTGCCGTTATTTGTAGATCCTGTGGAGTCGTGGCGTGCGTGCGACCTATTTCTAATAGTCTCCATGGTCTGAGCCTCGAGTCGCTCGAGGACCTCCTTAGCGGCAGCCTGAATGAGAGCATCGGTACGACCGGAGACGCGGCGGAGGGAAGAAGAGGAACGACTGGCTTCTTGGACGCCGGCGGGCTCACCATGGTCTTCGTCGGCGACTTCGATGGCAGGAGCGGGTGTGGGTGTCTCATCTGAGTCTGTCTGAGCCATGTTGAGTGAGTCTGCGACCTGCTCCGCCAGTTGGCTCGTTGTGATTTCGGCCGCGGGTCCAAGTGATCTTCCCCTCTCAACTTCCTCGTCTTCATGTTCCGTCTCTAGGGCGGGTGTCGATTCGTTCTCGGCCTCGACTTCGACTTCAATTTCGGGTTCGGGCTCTGGCTGAACCTCTGGCTCAGCTTCTGGCTCAGTAGCCTCTGGCTCGGGCTCTGGCAGGGGCGTATCTTCTTTGCTCTCTTCTTCGGATTGAGCCTCGGTTTCTGCCGCAGGTGTTGTCTCTTCAGCAGCTTCCTCAGCGTCACCAACAGCTTCAGGCTCGGCCTGAAGTTCCGCCTCTACTTCAGCGACCAACTCTTCGAGCTCAGCCTCCTCCGCAGTTGCTGATGCGGGAGTATCTTCCGGAGTCTCCTTTTCAGATTCAACCTCCGTCATTGAAGGCTCCTCCTCATGCGTATCTTTGGTATCGGTATTCGCAGACGAATCCTCGTCTGCTGGTGTGCTGTCGGCTTCTTCTGTGGCCGCCGCTTCCGGCTTATCCTCCTCAGTGGTATGTGTATCTTCCGAGGTAGGTTCCGCCTCTTCAACCTTCGTCTCGGATTCTTCAGAGGTATCCTCCGAGGTAGACTTCGTCTCCTCAGCCTTCACAGCCTCCTCAACTGTCGTGTCGGCTTCTTGCTCAGGAGTATCCTCAGTATCATCCTCCGCGACAGCCTCTGTTACAGCTACCTCGGCCTCTGTTGTGTCTTCCTCCTTGTCGTCTTCCTTCACATCATCCGACTCGGTGTTTGACTCCTCCACAACGACTTCGGGAGTCTCATCCTTGACATCCTCCTGTGTATCTTCCACCGTCTTCACCTCCTCGGCCTTGGCCGCAGCGGCGGGGACGTCGTCGTCCATGACTTCGGACTCGGCAGCTTCGTGCGCGGGTGTATTCAAGCAAGACTGGTCAACATGGATCTCAAAGTCGAGATCCTCGGGTTTCGGCCCGGATCGTAGCATCTGTCAGTAGTCGACAGATAGACCGACAAAACTTGTGAGATCCCGAGTTCGTTCCAGTCGTCGAGGTAGAACGGGACGGGAAGGAAGCAGTAGTAATCTGGACAAGAAAAAAGCGGGCTTGAGGAATGCGGTGAATGCGGGTTGGGATAATCCTCCTTTCTCTTTAGAGACGAGAAAGAGAGACACAAAAGTCTCTCGAGAAACGTGAGGATGCTGCGTGTGGGGGTGGTACCCTATAATTCCAGTCTGTTTATGGCCCCCGGTCCGGGACGGGTCGAGGGAGCAACCGGCGGTTTTGGAGGTGGTTCGTTTGGGATGGTTCGGTGGAAATATGGTGCTCTCTCTCTTTTCGAACAGGTCAAAAAGTCAAGG